TTGGGTCTCCACTCTGCACTCTCCCTCATTTACAATGATATGATTTTTTGTTCTTTGATGACTGATACCTGATCCCTTCAACACCTCGTGGTCACACAGGCTGGTGTGCTTCTTCCATGTGGGATTTTTTGCTTCTGAGCCAGATGGCTGCTTGTTTACCTGCAAGCCTTTAGGACCCCAGACGCTGTATCTTTTGATAGCCAGGCACCATCAGCTTTATTCACCACATTTGCTTATGCACACATTTGTCTTCAGCAATCATGGTGGGAAGGTGTAACTCTTTAAGGAAGGAGGAAGGTACATCTTTCTCCCACCTGGGCTGGACAGGTAATTGAAATCTACTTGCAAACACTCTGGTTGAAAGCAAAGCCGTCATATTGCTGGTTGGTGGTCAGAAAGAACTCAAATGGACTTAGGTCAGACAGAACATTGTAAAGTTGATTATGGAAGATGCAGTTAGGATAAAATGTAATATCTTATCATTTGAGCTCCCTTTTGACTCATTTTAAAGTTGCTTCAGTTAAAAAAATAAGCGAAGGGAATTACACGTGAAGAAAACTTCTGGTGAATCCCCTCTGAACATAGACCAGAGGTGTGAACAGCTTTGCTGTCACGCAGAATGCATTGGAAAGTGGATTATTGCAGAGGCCCCTTAGCTAAAATTTAGCACCTTACCATTTCATCTCCCTTTTGACCCATTTAAGATTTATTTAGTTTTTATTATTTTCTCGGTTTTTTTTTTTGTGCTTTACCTTGTTACTGTTGTTAGGGTTTTTGTTTGTTTGTTTTTAATGTTTTTCTGTATATGACATCCAGGATAGGTAAATCTATAGAGATAGTAAATGAATTAATGGACTTTTGGGGTTTTATCAGGGCAGTTTGTGGGGAAATGAGAAGCTAATAATGATGAGTACAGGAAAGAAGAAAATGTGCCAAAATGGATTGTTCTGGTGATTATACAACTCTTCTTAACATGATTAAACTATTAAATTGTATGATTTGTGAATCATATGCTGATAACATGGTTAAAAAATAAGGCTGATGATACATGCTACAACTAGGATGAAAGTAGATTGGGAATTACTTATGACTAGGTTGGAGGATGGGAAATTAATGCTAATGAGTACAGGATTTATTTTTTAGGTGATAAAAAATTAGGTAGTGGTGATGGTTACATAACTGAATAACTATAGTCCACTGAATTGTAAACATTAGAAAGGTAAATTGTATGTGTTTATATGTGTTATGCCTGAATAAAATTGTTACCAAAAATGAATATAAAGAGAAGTATATCTACAGAAAACAAAAATGGAGTTAGGACTCCCACTGTAAACCACAAACAAAATACTTTAAAACTGAAGCTTCTAGTACACTAACTGTAAGGAGAATGTCCAGTTCTCTTGGTCACTCCAGCCTTGAGGGTATTTTCTGTCAAGCTGAGCAAGGAGACTGGGAGGAAAGGTAAGGTATGGGACCTGGCTTAAATGATATGGACTCATCACTGGGTTTTAGTAGATTCTTTTTCAAATAAACAGTTCTTCTTTATGCCCTTAGGACAATTACCCGTGATTTACCATGGTTGTTTTGCTTTGTTATATATTCATATAATATTTACCAATTATGATTATTTCATTGGGGAAACAGAAATTGTGGGTTTCTTATGACATCATTCTGGAAGTGGATTCCCCTCTTCTGTTTACTTTTTAAAGGCAAGTGAAATTTCTTTGTTGTGATTATAAATAGAAGGCAGGCTATACTAAACTGAACCAATGAGCTAATTTTTTAAAATCAGGCTTTTATTAAGTGATATATAGTCGATTTCAGCATACCTGATTTCCCTTGCTTTGTTTTTGTTTCTGCTTAATAAAAAACACTGTTGTATATTGTTTCACTTCCCTGAGTTATTTTTAGTGACTTCTTTTCTGCTTGTTACTTTTATCTTTAGGTTTGAATTCAGCATCTTCTGCTGTACCACTACTAATTAAAGCACCATGCTGTTTACCTCCATTTCCAATGTTTCTACCTCTACCGCCTCTGGACTCTCATGTAAGTTGCTTATTCCAAAGAAAATATTATGATTTCCCATAAGGCCACATAACTTAATTTGCCAATATAAGCAATAGATCTCTCCTCTCTCTCAAATTCTCATTTTTACTCCCCCGAGCCTGATAGAGTATTCCATCTCAGTCCTTATGGGCTGACTATGAACGTGAGTCAAACTCAGTGGCAGTGCGTTATAACTGCTGATACCAATAATACCAGTAAGAGATTCATTGTCATAGCTTTAGGAATGATTTTTATACTGTGTCATGTTTATAATTAGATCTTAAAATGTTAATGTGAAGCATATTGTCCTTTATCATTGTTTTGAAAAGAAACTTCTGAAGGGAAAAGATTTATTTGTGAACATAACATCAAATGGGAAACAAAGGGAACATTTTTATGTGAATATGTGCCAGGTCTGTGATTTCTAATTTGTTTACATATCAGAGATGGAACATGGGAAAAGGCTAACTGGATTTTGGGTGTTCTAATTAACATTGTTTGATGTCTCTTGAATTCTCTCCTTGAGGGAGATCATCTGAATGATTTATTTGAGCTGAGAAAAATGACATTGTCTCATAATCCCAACTTCCTTGTTACACATCTTCTTTTGGAAAAGTAACAGCAAATGTTGAAGATATGAAATTCTGTATATGCCTTAGACAAGTCTTTCTAACAGATCTATATAAACTGGATGCTGTCAGGGCATTTTTTTTAAAACTTTACCATAATGTTTATCATTAAACTTTCTTGTATTTTATCCTAACTAGTACTAAAATTTTTTAAAAATCATTTTATTAGGGGTTCATACAACTCTTATCCAATCCATACGTACATCAATTGTGTAAAGCGCATTTGTACATTCATTTCCCTCATCATTCTCAAAACATTTGCTCTTCCCTTGATAATTTATAAATTATTGTTTTGTCATATCTTACACCGTCTGACGTCTTCCTTCACCTACTTTTCTGTTGTCTGTCCCCCAGGGAGGAGGTTATATGTAGATCCTTGTAATTGGTTCCCCCTTTCCAGCCCACCCTCCCTCTACGCTCCCAGTATCGCCACTCACACCACTGGTCCTGAAGGGATCATCTGCCCTGGATTCCCTGTTTCCAGTTCCTATCTGTGCCAGTGTACATCCTCTGCTCTAGCCAGACTTGTCAGGTAGAATTGAGATCATGATAGTGGGCAGGGGTGGTGGTGGCGTGGAGGAAGCATTGAATTATATTTTTTTAAGCACTGGCATTGAGTCAATTTTGACTCATCACACAAACACAAAAGCTGCAATCGAGTGGTTTTGAACTGCTATTCTTCTGGTTGGCAGCCCAACTCATTATCCACTCTGCCACCAGGGACCCTTTCTCCTAAAGCATATATAGGGTTTCTTGAACTCTAAATGTTTATGAGCTCAAAAAGACTCCTATGGGTCAACTGGTGGGTTTGAACCACCGATCTTGAAAGAAGAAGTTAAAGCTTAACACATAACCCACTCCACCGCTAGGGCTCCTTGGACTTCTAAAAATCCTACTATAGCAAGGTCGTTACCATTCCTGGGTGTAAAACTTACCAGAAAATAAAATGTACAGATGTTAACTGTACTGTAAAGAATAGTAATAGCATGCTGCTCTGATCCTCTTGTTTAGTTAGCCTCTCCAAACCAAATTCACTGCCACTGAGACAATTCTGACACATGAGACTCGATAGGACAGGGTAGAATTGCCCCTGTGTGTTTGCAAGACTGTAACTCCCTAGGTAAACATTATTTAAAGTTTCTGGTTCCCACATTAATTGCTTTTTTTACCAAATAAACTTCAATTTTTAGATATACTTGTGATTCTGGAAACTTTTGATATATGTAAGCAATATCCTTCTCAACTTTGATAGATTTTATGAATATGACAGTGTGTGAGGTTCAGAGTAAGATTCTTGAATTCCATGTGCAACGACTTGCTTTTTAACCTTTGACGGGCATTATTGTCCCCATTACTGTCACTGATGACCTTGTCTACAAAATGAAAAATTGTTTTGACTATGGTATTTTTAAAGCTTAGCTTTGATCTGAAAAGTTTGAAACTAATTACTGCTCCTCGGGTGAAAGATGAGGCTTTTTATTACTGTAAAGAGTTAGAATTTTTGGAACCCACAGGGGTAGTTCAACTCTGTCCTACAGGGTCATGATGAGTCCGCAACAACAGTAAGTGTGGTTTGATAGGCTTATCTCTAGTGAAGAATAATTTACATATCAAAAAATTCACTTACTTCAAGTCTACTATTCTATAATTCTGGATAAATGTATTGAACTGTGTTATCCTTGTCATATCCAGTTTTAGAACATTTCCATCATCTCTGTAAGATCGGTCAATATAAAAAAACAGTCATTTATTTTCTGCCTCCATACATTTGCCTTTTCTGGACATGTCATACAAATAGATTAACCCTAGTTGTTGTTGTTGTTTAAGTTTAACCAAAAGTTTCTAAAGGACCATTCAGATAAAAATGATTTCATATAAATTTCTTATGTGTTTTTATTAAAAAGTTAATAGGTTACACTATATTGTTCTCTGCAGTTGGTGCCCTAATAAATTTAATCGGAACACATGTTGTTATAACTTTAGGGTTTGGATTAAAATTTCCTGGAGCAGGTAGAGCAACTTCTGCTTCTAGTAAGAATTTTGAAATCATTGAGTTGTATGTGAAATATACTACATAAAAAGGAGAAAATAGAGGACAGTCTAAGAAGGTTTCGTCCACCTCTTCAGAGTGTCTCAAAAGTACATGAATATAGATGGTTGTCAAAAGTACGAGTGGTTAATATTGTTGATATTGTTAATAATGTTGACAATGTCAATATTGATAATGATATTACTTCCTTTAGAGAAATCCCAATCAGAACTATCAAATTCTTGTCTATTTTTAAGCTTTAGAATTTTTTCTTATTTATCAGAGTTTCAAATTTGACTTAATATATACAGATAGTCCCCGACTTACAGTATATTTGAGTTATGATAAACTGCACTCGGAGTCATCCACTTTTGTTTTTATATATCTGATTGGTAGTAATATGTACTACATCGTACAATGCTGCAATGTGGGATTTGCTGATGCTAATGATTCTCAGATAGTCACTTGCAGATATTCAATGTTATTATTTACTGTGCTACACACTGTGATATAGATTGTTTCCCAAACGAAATCAGGGGCTTCCTTTGAATGAAGACTTGGACCCAAATGTTGATCACTTTGCTAAAGTTGATGGGTAGAATTAAGAAGCAGCGAGAACTCACTATGAAGGGGAAAAGAATACCATTCAGCCAACTCTTTTTTAAAAATGAAAAGAATTGTTATTTTTTTTCAAAACCATTTTGGGAGCGATTACAGATATCATACCATTCCATAGTTCACTCACACTCTTAATTTTCTGACTAGAAACAGGGATAAGCCAACTGATCCAGAACCTTCCCCCAATGGAGTTATTACAGCAACTGACAAAATGCCAACATCTATTAATTATTCTTTATCATCAGAGCAAACTTTTATAACTTATAGTTTATGTATGTATTAATATATATCTGTACATTTATATATGTTTCCAACCCCCAAAGACAAATAAAGATCTGATCTATAAAGAAACTGATAATAAACGGCAACGATGATAAAAACTAAAAAAAGTTTTTCTTAAATGAAGTATTTGACTTAAGTCAAAGCCAATTTATGTAATTCAAGAACTACCTGTATATTGAAAAAGATTTGTTGCCTGACAAAGAATTTTTGTTTAAGGTTCAACCTACATTTTCTGTTTATAGCTGACCCTTTTGTAAAGCTGTTTATATTCTATTCTAAATGTGTTTCTACCAAATCAGAGCCTCTTAGGTTACTGGTTGAAGAAAATTTTGTTACTCTTTACCCACAACTATTGTGAGCTGTGTGATTAAGGTTCGGTTGCTACTGAAACCTGACCCCATCTTGAGGAAGTCAGGCTCTATCATAGGGAAGTATTGTTTATTTTTACTTTTAAAAGTTCACTTAGGACCGAAAGGAATCACTATTCAAAACTAACAGTAACTAAGAGTCAAACCCTTTTCAACTTAAAATCCTGAAGCGGAGATGTTCACCAGTTATTTATGAATTCTTTTACACATCCAACACTTAGGAAGTTTCTACTGTAAACTAGGCTTACTGGCCAACCTATGACAGTCGTGAAAATGTGTCTTGAGAACTTTACAAATTACTATACTTAATGTTAGAATGGTGGGGGTGGCCTCCGACCTCCTCTGACTTCCACAGGAGAGGGAGAATGAAACATGAGTCCAAAGCCAGTTCCTAGGAGGTGGAGGTCAGATTGCATGCATCCAACAAACATCTGCATCAATTCTGATATCAGCTATCCAACACTCTACTACTCTGTTAGGTTTTATAATCCATTGTGGGCCACACAAAACTCACAGACAATACTTAAGGAAATGTTTATTAGAGACATTAACAGGTTACAATTTATAAATGCTCAGTATATAGTTCTTAAGTCAAGATGACCTCTTCTCAGCCAAGCACATCTCTCTCTGGTTCTCAGCCAGTCATCCACGCAGCCGCTTAGCCTCTGCCCTTCTAAGACAATAGTGCAAAGCCTTGGGTTTTTTTTTTAAGCATTGCTAATAAATGCCTGAGGGGCAATCTACTCCATCTACTATAACCTCAGCCCTAAGGTACTCCGCTCTAGCTGTTTGCTCTAGGATCAGCAAACCTAGCTCCCTCAATTAAGTGCCTGGAGGCAACCCACTCCACAAGTGAGCCTTGGGTCCAGAGGCACTAAACTTCTTAGCTCAGTGGGCCAGGAAGTATACCATCCTGGTGCTGCGGCATCTCCTGCCACTACTTCTCCAGTGTCACAACTTTATTTCTCCTGGTTCAAGGAGGTTAAGGAGTCAGGAATCTTGTGGTCAAAAGAATGTGCTCCACTCCTGACTCTTTTCTTTTTTTGTTCTTTTTTTATTAATCGTTTTCTTAGGGGCTCATACAACTCTTATCACAATCCATACATACATCAATTGTGTAAGGCACATTTGTACATTCATTGACCTCTTATTTTTTTTCCTGTCATTTTTCATTAGATTTTTTAAAGAATAGCTTTATTGGCATATATTTTAGATATCATACTATCTAATCAATCAATCAGAAGAAGAGTCAGACAGTCATCACCACAAACAATTTCAGAATATTTTTTTTTGATACTCATTGCTGTTAGCTCCTCATTTCACTCCAACCTCCCCTGCCATGCTCCCTGGATATTTAATAACACCAGTTACAGCCTCTATAGGGATACCTATCCTTGATTTCATATACAGAAAATCATACAAAAACACAAACAGGAAACAAATTAAACAATGACAAAATGAAGCAAAATAAAATCCTCAATAGGAAAGAAAGCAGAAAATATAAAAAATTGAAACAACTTTAAAATGAGTCAAAAGCAAAATCAAATGATAAGGTGTTACATTTTTACATATCTATGGACCTTCGTATGCCTGGACTACGGTCAGAGGGGATTCAACTGAGGTTTAATCCATGTGGGGATGCTGCAGTTGGATTTGGGGCTTCCAGTATTATCCATACACTACTTCTCTAAATTTAAACTCTGATTCCATTTCCTCCTTTGGATTTGGATGTATTCATTTATATCCTTGGATCACACAACTGGTGTGCTTCCTCCATGTGTACTTAGTTGATTTCTCGCTTAAATGGCTGCTTGTTTTAAAACAAGCCTTAAAGACTCCAGACACTATTCTTTCTGATAAGCAGGCACCATCTCGTTTCTTTACCACACTTTGCTGTAGCTTCCATATCTTCAGTCCCTTCATGCCTTTCCCCCCTGCCAACATCATGCCTCTTTTGCTGTCTTACCATTGTAGCTTACTCATATCTTTAATTTGTTCATGACATCTTAATTTTACTTTTTGTCTTTCTTCTGTAAGTCCTTTCAACTTCCTCTTTACTGTCTGATTGTTCCACATTTCTGAAAATAATTCCATATTTATGCCTATAGTTTTATTCTTTCCATGTTTCTGAAAATACCTCCATGTTTAAACTTCCAGTCAGACTCTTGCCATATTTCAAAATTTTTGAAAATGAGATTCTTACTAATTTTATTCATGTTTGAGTATAATTTTTATGCCAGAGCCTCATGGGCTTCTCAAAATGGCGTCCCTAATTTAGATAAACCACCAGTCAGCTGTGAACAAGGATTAAAGGACAAGAAATAAAGAAAGAGTATCTGACCCTGACCCCTCAGCAGCAGTGAGGTAGACCAATTTCCATTAGAACAGACCATACATGTGCCAGGCACTATGGTACAGCAAGCCATTAACCTGAAAATGTTTCTAATTAGGGAAGCAATTTTATGCATGTTTAATACATATTGCAATACATTTTTATAATTTTTTTGTTTCAGAAGCAAAATTTGTTAATTATAAGATGAACCACAATTTTCTGTGCAGTGTTCCTTAAGTATTCAGTTTGTAGTAGGAAATAAAGTTCCATAGAAATTAGTAAGAGATGTTATGACTAAGAGAAGTAGGTTATAAACTTGGGAAAGGAAGAATTTGATCTATGCCATCACTTCCAAAATTTATTTGATCCACATCCCTCTTTTCAGTAGAAAAAATTTCCCCGCACCCCTGTCAATGAATGACTTGTGTACTATAGCCTATAATCTAGTATAAAGTATGGGTATATGTTCTTGGAGCACTCCCTCTCCCAGATTCTCCCAGCACTTCCTGCGGGGAGTGGTATTACCCACCTTGGGAAATATTGATCTAGACCATTAGATATACTTAGGATTTTATTTATAGAAGGTTAAGGCATTATCGTAGGAGTGGAACAGATAGAAAGGAGAAGAGTCTGGGTTGTAGATAAAACTTTGAGATGCTTTTGTCAATTATATTGACAAAGATGTGTGCCTAGTATTGGCTAGAATGTAAAGAATCAAACACTTTTGTCTAATGATAAGTATGTGCATTTGCAAAATCTTTTTGGGAGGACAATTTGGCAAGATATATTAAAATTAAAGTATGGTGACTCTTTGATCCCGAAGTTTGTTTATAGGAATTAATTGCACAGATGTATTCATGTAAGTAGCCAAAGATATAGTTATAAAACGTTTTTGTAAGATAACAATCTTTTCTTGAAAGTTTACAGTTTACCTCATGAATCATTGGGCCCGAGAACTTCTTTATGGGAAGATTTTTGAGGAATGATTCAATCCCTTCAATGGTTGTAGAACTGGTTAGATGATTTTTTATTTTTCTGTGGACTTATCTTAACTTTTATTGTGAATTAGTTGCAGGTTTGCAACGCAGATCATAGTTTTCCCTTCTACAATTCATGGTGCAAGTCTACCATTGCAATCCCCTCGATGAATTTATCCCACTTCCTCCCGTGCTTCCTGTCGCCATTCCTCCTCTTTCCTCTCCGTCCGAATGTTGTCTTTGGGTAGACCCCTTTGCTCTTAAGTGGTTGCTTATCCAACTTGGAGGTGATTTCAGTTCGAGACCGGAAGGGGTAAGTGCCTTAGTCTTGGGGTTTCCACCAGTCCTCTATATGACCAGTAAGCAGGGTCTATTTTATGATTTTCAGTTTTGTTCCACATTTTTCTCCCACCTTATCCAGGACCTTCTAACAAGATCCTTTTCAGATCTGGGATTTTTATCTGGGATGTTTCAATTTTCAAGCAGGAAGGTTAGTTGACTTACCACTTCACCTTACAATAACTTTGGGTTCAAATTTACAACTTTGGATTCAAGTTAACATTTTTACAATGCCTTTAGAGTTTTTAATCTGAATGAACAAGGACTACATGAAAGCAATTTCTCATTTCTTCCTAACGTTACGCATTTTATTTTTCAGCTACAACATCAACCACTACAGCGACCACTATCACCACCAACACCACTACCACAACCACCAGTGGCTTTACATTTCTTCTGAAACCACTGGCATCAACCTGGATTAATACTTCTGTTCCAGTCAGGGCTAATTCTATACCTCTTACTTCGACTGTTAAGTAAGTCTATTTATTTGACAATTCACATGAATTTCATTTTCCTTATATTTATATATGGTATAGTTTGATTATATAGCTTTAGAATAGTATTTCAAAGTTAAATTACTTTAGAAACCAAAGAGCAATTTGAAAAAGATTTTCTGTTCAGTGCCACTGTAATACAATTATTACTATTATTAATAATAACTAACACATATGCTCAACAAAATTATACTTACAAATATATTATTTAATGCATGTAATAACTCTTTAGGAAATAAGCACTATTTTTGTTTCCATTTTATAAATTAGAAAGCAGGAGTACATAGAAATTTTATAACCTGCCCATGGTCACACGTTTTGTAGCACCTGAGCCAAGATTAAAATTTAGATAGAAGAGCCCCAGGGCCCATATTCTTTCATAGTACATATGCGCATCCTTAATATTTGTTTTTAAATTAAGCATTTCATTTGAAATAATTGTATATTTACATGTGGTTAGGAGAAATAATATAAAAAACATCACCTGAATTCCTTTTCCACATTTTCCCCGTTTAGAATGCACTGTCATAAAATATCACAGCCAAGATATTGACATTGGTACTAACAGTTTCCGTAACTAGAAGAATTCCTCCTGTTACCTTTTACAGCCACACTTTTCTTCTCCTCTCCCCCCTCGTCCCCTTTCCCGGGTCCCAGGCAATAGTGAATCTATTGTCCATTTCTATAATGTTGACATTTTTCGACAACGTTGTATGAATAGAATCATACAATATGTGACCTTTTGGAATTGGCTTTTTTCCTTGTGATCTATCCAGGTTGTCTTATGCATTAATAATTTGCTGTTTTTTATGGGTAGTGATTTGTAGTATTATGTATATACTGCAGCTTGTTTAACCATTCACCTGTTGGTGGACATCTGTATTGTTTTTAGTTTTTTGCTGTTATGAATAAAATTGCTATGAATATTTGTAGACAGGTTTTTCTGTGCACTTAAGCCTCATTTCTCTTACATAAACGTCATGTAGTTCAGTTGCTGGATTGTATGATGATTGCATTTTTACCTTTTTTTGTTTGTTTCTTAGTTTGAAGCTAGCTCTTGCACCACAAGATAATTTAAGTCAATTCCTACTTTACTTTTCCTCCTTTTATAACCACTCAGACTGGTTTTACATCTGATGGATAAGGAATCTGGAGGATTTTTAAGGCTATGATCTCTCTTTTTTTGTTAAGTTAGTTAGTAAATATCAAAACAAAAACACGTTGCCATCGAGTCAATGCCAACTCATAGTGACCCTCTAGGACAGAGGAGAATTGCCCCTGTGAGTTTCCAAGACTACCTCTTTACGGGAGTAGAAAGTCATGTTTTACCCATGAGAGTGGTTGGTGGTTTTGAACTGCTAATGTTGGCAGATCACAGGTGAACATGTAAGCACAATGCCATCAGGGCTCCCTAAATTATTTAGTAGTTAGGTTAAAATGTCCTATCTTATCCCTTGATCTCCTTTTGGACTCATTTTAAAATTGTTTCCGTTTTCAAAAACAGAAAGGGAGGGGAAAATACCCGTGGATTAAGCCTCTTGTGAATCTTCTCCGACCACAGACTAGGGATGTGAATAGCCTTGCTAACATGCAGCATGCATTAGAAAGTAGATTATTGTAAATGCAACGAGGTTAAACTTTAATACCTTATCATTTCATCTCCCATTTGACTCGTTTTAAATTTGTTCTAGTTATTATTATTTTCTACCTTTAATTGAGGGGTTTCTCCATTTTACTTTGTTGATGTTGTTAATCTTTTAATTGTTTGTTCTTTTTAAAAATATTTTTCTGTGTATGAAATCAAGGATAGGTAAATCTATAGAGACAGTAACTGGATTAATTGTTTCATGGGGATAAGGCAGGGGAGGTTGGGGGCAAATGGGGAGCTCATAGCAATGAGTACAAGAAAGAAGAAAATGTTCTAAAATTGATCACGGTCATGATTGTACTACTCTTCTCAATATGATTGAGCTACTGAATTACATGATAATGTGAATTATATGCCAATGAAACTGTTAAATATTTAAATTTATTTTTATTATTATTATCCCCTCCCCTTTTATTTGTGGAATATAACACATACAAAGAAAAACATACTATATGTAGTTAAACAGCCCATCACATAAGAACAGTGATAGTATCCCAGTAAATTCCCTATTTTTGTGACTTCTTTTTCTTTTCTTTTCCCATTTACCCTCCCTACTACCCTTCCTCATCCTTCCTATTTCCCCTCCCTCCTGCCCCATGCCTCCTTATAGTCATCAAAGTCTTTTCCTTTGGTGTGAAAACCATTTTTCTTCCTTTATAATAATAGTGTCATGAAATACCTACCTTTATGAGATTGACTAACTTTGCTAAGCATTCTGCCCTCCACCTTTGTCCATGTCATGAGATGCATCATGTTTTCAGTGGCTTCTTCCTCTGAAATGGGAGCTGAGTCCTTCTTTGTCGTCTGTCCTTCGTCTGGAAGCTCCGCAGAAACCGGTTCACTTTGGGTGACATTGCAGGTATTTGAAACACCAGTGACATCGTTTCCAGAATCACAGCCACACACAAACCACCACAGTGCCACAAACTGATAGGCACGTGGTGGGCAATAAACATGGGTGCATATCTCTGTGCTTTTTAAAATTTTATTTAGGATAGATACAACGTACAGAGATCGGAGGATCATAAGGTATTTTGATTCACATTTGTTTAAGGAAGTGCCTTATTGTTTTCCATCCCGGCTGTACAGTGTTCACCTGTACAATCCCACCAGCAATGTATAAATTTTCTAATCTCCACATCTTCTCCAACATTTATTATTTTCTGTTTATTTTTAATTTTGCTAAGAAGTGTGAGGTTGTATCTCATAGTTGTTTTAATTTATATTTTTCCTATGCCTCAGGAACACGAACATTTCTTCATATGATTGTTCGCCACCTGGATGTCATCTTTAGTAAATTGTCTGTGTTTTTCTTATTAAGGTGCTGTAGTTTTCTACAGATTTTTGAAAGTATCCCTTTTTCTGATGTATAATTTCCAAATATTTTTCTCAGTATATGGTGTGGTTTTTTCTTTTACTCTTTTAATGAAGTCTTTTGTTGTCGCAAATGTCATATTTGTAGAAGGACTCAATCTTCTATTTTGTCTTCTATAGTGTTGATTTTCATTATATTTTATAGTGTATTTACGCCTTGTATTAGGGCCCTTAAGTTTGTCCCTCCTTCTTCATTGATGATCTATATGGTTCTAGGGTTTATAGGTAGGTCTTTTGTAAATGGTGTGTTGTATGGATTCTGTTTTACTCTTTTGCAGGTAGAGATCCAAATTTTCTAGCAGCACTAATTGGAAAAGTTATCTCTTCTACTTACTGTGTTTTAGCCCTTTATTTAAAAAAATCAAGTGTCTGTGTGTGCTTGGTTATATTTTTGAGTTCTCTGTTCTAATCCATTTACTTAAATATCTATCATTGTACCAATATCCAATTGTTTTGATTTCTGTGGCTGTATAAAGGCTTTAAATTTAGGAGGTGATTGGCTTTTTACTCGTTTTGAATTTTGATAGTGTTCTATTTATCCTGGGTTCTCTCCTTTCCACAAAAAGTTGGTGATTGGTTTTCCCATTTATTTAAATAACTGATGGGACATGGATCAGAATTGCATTGAGTTTATAGATTGCTTTTGGTAATATTGACATTTTCACTATATTACGTCTTCCTATTCATGAGCATGGGACATTCTTCCATTTACATAAGTCTTTTTGTTTTTTATTTGTTGTAGAAGTGTTTGATAGTTTTCTTTTTATAAGTCTTTGGCTTCTCTAGTTTATTCATAAGTATTTTATCTATTGGGTAGTTATTGTAAATGGTTTTGTTCTTTTAATTTCCTTTTCAGTCTTCGTTGATATACAAGAGTCCAATTGATTTCTGTTTGTTTCTACGTTATCAATTTTTTGAATTAGTTCCAACAATTTTTTATTGAGTATTTGAGGTTTCCTACATATAGGACTGTGTCATTTGCTAATAAAGAGAATTTTGTTTCCGTTTGTCAATTTGGATGTCTGTAATATCTTTTTGATGTTTTTATAGTTCTTAGACTTCCAGGGCTATATCAGAGTGGTGATAAAGGGCAATCATACCTAGTTCCCTTTCAGAGAGGGAATGTTTGTATTTTGCTCCATTAAATGAGATTATAGCTGTTGTTTTTGCATATATGGCCTTTATTATGTTAAGGAATTTCCCTTGTATTCCTGGTTTATAAAGTGTTTTATCAAGAATGGATGTTAAATTTTACATCAGTAGATATAGTTATTTTCCTTTGTTTTCTTTATGTGGTGGATTACATTGGTTGTTTTTCTAATATAGAGCCATTATTGCATACCTGGTATGAATCCCACTTGATTATGATATATTATTTTTTTAATGTTTTGTTGAATTCAGTTGGCTAGAATTTTGTTGAAAATGTGCCACCTATATTCATAAGACATATATGTACATCTATTGTTTCCAACTCTGGTGGTTTTTTTGCCAAGGATAGGTATCAGGGTTAGCCTTCCATCATAAAATGAATTTGGTAGTGTATTACCCGTTTCTATATTCTGAAATAGTTTATGTAGATTGGTACCAACGCTTTTCTAAATTCCCCACTAAAACTTTCTGGTCCTGTATATTTTGATGTTGGCAGTTTTCTTCTTGTGTTATAAGTATGTTAAGGTTTTCTAGACCAGTCTGTGTTAATTTAAGTAGGTAATGTGTTTCTAGAAATGTGTCCATTTCTTCTAGGTTTTCCATATTTAGTACAATATAATTTTTCATAATTTAGGTAATTATCTTTTATTTCAGTTGGTTCTGTTGTGATAGCACTTATTTCATTTCTTATTCCTAATATTTGCTTTTTATCCCTTTCCTTTGTTAGGTTTGCCAGTGGTTGATCAAAGAACCAACTTCTTGTCATAATTGTTTTTTCCTATTTTTTTCCTGATGCATTCATTTTGCCTCTAAGCTTTATTTTTTCCTTCTAGGTTCTGAGGGATTGTTTTGCTGGTCTTGCTCTGATTGTTGTAGGTGATGTGTTAAGGTGTTTATTTTAATCCATTCTTTTTTTGATGTGTGCACTTCTTGCTGTAAATTGCCCTCTGAGTATTGCTTTTGCTGTATGTCAGACACTTAATCTCTGTTAATTCCTTTTGGTTTTTGTCAATTCCCTGAGGTGTGACTTACTCCATATTCAGATCCAATTAAATCTGGACACGTTTGCAGACATAGTTTTTGAGGTCAGTGTTTGAGGTTTGTCCTGACTCCAGGTATGGGACCCTTCTATGCTCTCTTTTTCCATGATTCTCTCTAGCAAGCGATCTTTACTATGATTTAATTTGTTATTCTCATGGAACTACTATATTACTCTTAATTGATTACCATTGAAATCTCCATTGTCATAAGCATCCCTAAGTTTTGACTTTCTTGCACTGTGTTACAACTAAAGTCATTTACTTTAGGGATGACTAGGAGCATTCTACTTTTATGGTCTCCCCTTTTTCCTGGGCAAAATCTCAGCCTATGCGTAAGCACTGAAGTCAAGACAGTTGCCTACTAATCTCCAGATGTCACCCCTGATTTATGAGCTGGGTGGACATGGTTGTCTCTGGTCTTCTCAGATTGTCTATTCCCGCAAGCATTCTAACCTATGACTGCAATGGGACAAAGTGGATCTGGGCCTCAGTATTCTTAGCCTACTAATCCATGGGTAAGCTTTCCCTGTTAAGGCTGGGAACTGGTTGGACGAATGGGTCTTCCACTTCTTGACTTTATTGCCTATGCGATAGGGAATAACTTCCCCCTCTTGGAGGAGATTTGAACATGACTTCGAACTTTAGGGAGAGGTAATCCTGCCTGCCTGGCCACACCCATCTAGAAAAGAGTTCCTAGAATGGCAAGTTGAGGGTAGTGTGGGCAGTCAATAGACCAGATTGTGGCTCAAATGACGCAGATTATTGTTGTTCTTACTGAGATTTACTCAGTGCTCATGGAAGCAGCAGTGAAGAGATCAAAAGATGTGTTGCATTAGGTAAATCTGCTGCACAATGCCTCTTTGTAGTCCTGAAAAGCAAGGATGTTAGTTACTTTAAGGACTAAGGTGCGCCTGACCCAAGCCATGGTATTCTCCATTGCCTCATATGCATGTGAAAGTTGGACATTAAATAAGGTAGGACAAAGAAGAATCTACACGTTTGAATTGTGGTGCTGGAGAAGAATATTGAAAGTCCCATGGGCTTCTAAAAGGACAAACAGATCTGTCTTGGAAGAAGTATGGCTAGAGGGTTCCTTAGAGGCAAGGATGGCCAGGCTTTCTCTTACATGTTATCAGGAGAAACCAGTCCCTGGAAAAGGATAGCATACTTTGTGAAATGTTGGGGCAGCTAAAAAGAAAAGCCACTCAATGATCTGGATTGGCACACTGGCTTCAACAATGAGGTCAAGAATAAGACCGATTATAAGGATAGTGGAAGGCCAGGCAGTTTTTCCTTTTGTTGTACAGAGGGTTGTTATGGGTCAAAACCAACTTGATGGCACCTAACACCAATTGAGATTTCATTAATTTTCTTGCATAAATGTTTAATCATTTGCAGTATTAGCTTAGAGTAGTTTTCAGAGCCTTCAATTGTCTTTGGTTTTATTTTATTTGTCTTTGTTTCATTTCTCATCAGTTATAGTTGCTTTGCTAGGGAGAAGGTCCAAAGTACTCACATGACATTTTCTTCTCAAAATCTTACCGTGTTGTTTCTAAAATAAAAATCATACTTGCTCACCTTCCCGACACGATTGCTGAAGTCAAAATGGGTACATAAGCAAATGTGGTGAACAAAGCTGGTGATGCTCAGCTATTAAAAGATACAGCATCTGGGGTCTTGGTCTTAAAGGCTTGACGTTAAACAAGTGGCCATCTTGCTGAGAAGCAACAAAGCCCACATGGAAAGGAAAGAACCACACCAGCCTGGGTGATCACAGGGTGTCGATGGGATCAGGTATCAGGTATCAGGCATCAAAAGACCCCAAACAAACAAAAATATCGATGCAAATGATGGGAGTCAGAGTGAAGACCCAAAGCCCCATCTGTAGACAATTGGACATTCCCTCACAGATGTTTCACAAGGAAGAACATTCCTCCAGCTCTTAAATGCTTCCTCTCCCCCACTGTCAAAACCCCAGTTCTACCTTACAAATCTGGCTAGACCAGAGCATGTACACTGGTACAGATGAGTGCTCTTTACACACGGAATCCAGGACAAATAAACCCCTCAGGAACAATAATGGGAATAGAGATAACATGAGTGTAGAGGAGAGATATGGGGAGAAGCGGGAGAAATGGGGAAATGACTACAATGATCGATGGATAGCTACTGCCCCCACCCCTGGGGGATGAACAACAGAAAAGTGGGCAAAGGGTGACAGAAGACGGTGTAAGATATCAAAGTTATAATCATTTATAAATTAGCAGGGGTCCATGAGGATGACAGGATGGGGAAGGAGGGAAAAGAGAGGAGCTGATACCAAGGGCTCAAGCAGAAAGAAAATGTTCTGGAAATGATGATGGCAGCATCTGTACAAGTGTGCTTAGTACAACTGATGTTTGGAGTGTTATAAGAGCTGTAAGATTCCCCCAATAAAATGATCTCTTTATAATCATAATTAATAAATAAATAAAAATCATACTAGACACAGTTTTCTGTATTCTGTGCATTTCTAGTTCAATTAGTACTCCTCTGATGACAGCCCGGAACCTGGAGGATATGATAAATGATTGGAACCTTGAACAAGAGGATTCTGAGAAGCCCTTTACTCTGCAGCCCACCCAGGTCAACACTTGGAATTGTGCACCGACTGAGAATGATCAGGTGATAAGATAGTCTCACTAGTCGACCTGCGTTGTACAAGTATTTTTAGATGAACACAAGAAAATATACTTATATCGAGTGGTTATTTTACTATCCCAGTCACGATTATCAACTTTAGAAAACGCTTTCCTTAGGTATTAAATGCCCTAAATTAGAAACCCCTTTGTAATCTTAGGAACTTTAGATTGCTCTAAAATTATAATATATATTATCATATCTTTTCTGTATTATTTTCTTTTCAGACTATTCCTGTACCTGGAGAAGCAGAAAAGGTGAAACTGAATCCGAGAAGGTAGAATTCTTTGCTATTCTAAGTCGAAAGATTTCATATCTCCCTGTTCAGTGTTTCCATGGAGATTTAAAACATTGGAAACTCACAGTGGCAGTTCTAATCTGTCCTCTGGGGTCACTACGAGTCGGAATCAATTACATGGTGGTAGCTGTTGATTTTTTAAAAATAGTTCATTAATGTTTATTTTGCCATCTCTTCTGGTGACTTGCTTTACTCAGGTTGGAAAACGAATTGGATTTCATCCTAACACAGCAGAAAGAACTGGAAGATTTGTTGATCCCATTAGAGGCATCTGTGACACATCAGAGTGGGTTTGGCTATCTGCAACACACAGATGCACAGCGTGAATGGATGTGAGTAACTGGATAGAAATGGCAGAGTGGACTGAGGCTCGGTGAATATAACAGCATTCCTCAAAGGAGGGGGAAGTGGAATTGGAAGGGTGGAATAAAAATTGGTAGATAAGGACAAGGTCTGCTAGTTGACATCACTCAACTTGTTGGACCCTGTTCTGCTTACCTTTGGGGGATGCTTGAAAATGAAATTATTCTGACAATTTTGTTTCATAGAATTTTTTATAATCTCAAACTTCTACATGACCATTGCAAAGGTTTTCTTTTTATCAAATTTGTTCAAAAATTAGAAATATAAATTATATATGTGTAGTGTCATGTTATTTTGGGATATTTATGTTATATTTCTATTGACTCTTCTAGACCTGATATTCATATAATTACCTTAATGATAAATCCGTTGCGATTTCAAAGGCAATTTGTTAATCTGGAGGCAAATTCTATAGCTTTAAAAATCAAATGCTTTTGGCAATGTCTTGGGTTAGATTGTTGTGTAACAGTCAATTTTTGCTGTCAGTTGATACACTACCAGTGTTTCCACAGTAACTGTATCTTACTGTCATTGATATTTGGTAATTAGACCAAGTTATAGTGACAGAAGAGCTTGTACAAAGTTTATTTTTATTTTTTATTTAGTTTTTATTTTTTTTTTGCCAAAGTTTATTTTTAAAAGACTTGCAAGTTACCTTTTTTTGATGGCTGTTTTAAGTGTGATAATTTCTACCTAATAATTTCTGCTTTTGTATTTTCAGTCTTTCTGAATCTGTGTTTTCTTCCTTTTGTATTCTATGCATTTATTAATTTTTTTGGAACTCATGAATAGACAATATCTCTGGAACACTAGTTCCTTGCTAGTCACTCTATTTAAATCACATTTCTGTTATAATGGAATCTTCCCCAGAATCTTCATCAGTCTAGACAAATGATTGTCTGCAAATCCTGTGAGATAGAAAGGCAGTAGATAATTATTAGTAAACTCTATTGAATCTAGTCACCTTATAAGTATTGTTTAAAAAACCACTGATAACTTTGATTTTCATAAACATTAAGAATGATAATGTGTATGTTTGAATGTGGGTTTCTGTGTATACATAGTAAAAAATGATAGAATGTAAGTTTGGGTGGAAATCAATAATTTTAAGAAACATTAATTGCTGTGAAATTAGCAGATATACCTACCTTTGGATATTGTGTAACTCACTTTTCATATACCTTTTGTTGGGTGGTAGAGACTAGTTATACAAGATGTTATTTTGACATAGTGTGCATTCCAGACCATTGAAGATCGCTCAGCACTTCCTGCTAAACACTAGATAACTATTCTTACACCTAACAGTCCTGTGGGCTTATTTAAACCCTTAAAAATAGTTCCTTTGCTTTAGAATTCCTCAGAACAGTTCAACCAGTGGATGAAAATGGCAAGATGGATAATAATGTCCCAAATGCTTTATCTATAGAAATGTGCATTGGCCCTAACTGAGATTCATAGAGGAAGGTAGGGGAATTGGGCTACATCTAGTTAGCAGTGTGTCGGTAATAGTACATGGCAGGGAAAATATTTTTGTTAATCCTTACATTTTTCTCTGCCCTTTCAGTTACAAATTAGCAGAAACTATAGAAGCTCAACTGAAACATATTGCCCAAGATCTCAAGGACATCATTGAGTACCTGAATACATTTGGAAGTACTGCCGACACTACTGAATCAGTGAGTGTTTTGCATTACATATTTAGCCAGCCAGAATTTAGTTTAAAATTAGTTCTCTGTGGTTCACTTTGCCAGTCACTCCCTTGCCTTTGATACCTGCTGCTAGACCTGTGAAGTCATTGAATGGAGTCAGTGTAGCAATAATTAGTGACATTAAATGTTGTGAGTTTTTGTGGTTATTCCTTGGGGGTTGGGAGCAGGGGAAATTAACTTTAGTATCACCAAATTTTTCTCTTGAACTTCTTGTTTTTCACATACCTGATTATGTCCTTTTACTTATTTCTCTGTTCATGTATTCATTAACCAAAATCAAACCTATTGCCACAGAGTCAATTCTGACTCATGATAGTACCATGTGCTACATGAAGGAGAACTGCCCCATAGGGTTTTCTTGGCTGTTATTTTTCATAGTAGCAGATTTCCATCCCATTCTTCTGCAGTGCTTCTGGATGGATTCAAACCACCAACCTTTAGGCTAATAGACCAAAGCCAAACTGGTTGTCGTTATGTCAATTCTACCTCATAGTGACCCCATGTGTTATAGAATAGAAGTGTTCCATAGGGTTTACTTGACTGTTATCTTTACAATAGCGGATTGCCAGTCCTCTCTTCCATGGCACTGCTAGGTGACTTCCAACTGCCAGGTTTTAGGTTATCAGTCAAGTGCAAACCGTTGGTGCCACCCTGGGACCTAGGACAACTGGATATCCATATGCAAATGAAGTTTACTCTTCCTTTTATATATTTATCTATATTTACATAATGTGAATATATATGTATGAGTTATTTAGGCACAGTCCAGGTAGTCCTTCATTTATTAAAAAAATCCAAATCTTAAAATTGTGATAAGCCAACTATTTGAGACTTAAATATTTCTTTTCCATAGAAACATTGTTAATTGTGATGATCTACCCTGTCTACAGAATTTTAATTAAATAGTGTAAATATATTTTGGGGAAATTTAGAGACAGTTCCAGTTAGGAAGTTGAGATGCTGTGAATTAATTTGGCAATAAGAAATGATCTGTATTAGAGCTTCAATTATGAGTGGTAAGTTTACAGTGGGAGACCTGATTCCATTCTGAGTCTCCACATGGATTTATTACGTTTTTCTGACCCCAGACTAGCAACATAAAAAGCGTTTCCTGCAGGCGGTGTGTGCTACCACTCCTCTATCCAGCGCAGAGAGGCCAACCCTACCACCGGAGACTTGCCTGCATGTGCCCTGGAATGAAATGGGTCCTCGTGCCCCAGGGTCATGAGTCATACCCTGACCAAGCTGGTCGGAAAGCTTGGAAACCAACCTTGGAAGCTTTTCTTATCTGCAGTGGTGTACTTATTCCATCTGGGTCCCTTTCTTGCTCACACTAGTGCCACTTACAACGATGAATTGATCTGCTGTCAATCATGACTTTTTTGACAGTTTGCTCTGTATTCTATGTCCTATTTAAGTTGCCAGGTGACTGAATCCTTGGACACCATTATGACCTCATGCAGATGGTCACCCTCATCCGGATGGTTTGCCTTTGTCTTGTTTAAGAATTAATAAACGGATCTCTGTAAATTGTATTTGAATTTGGGATTTCTTTTTCCCCTCAAACAGATTGTGGGGTGGGGTGGGTTTTTTTTTCTCTCCTAGTTGTTCTATTCTAATTATAGAGCAATTTCCCTCCAGCTTTCCCTATTGTAGAGAGCCCTGGTTGCGTGATGGTTAGCATCGGGCTGCTAACCGAAAGATCAGCATTTTGGAACCACTTGCTGCCAGCTACTTGGGAGAAAGACTAGGCTTTCTTTTCCCATAAACAATTAGTCTTGGCAACTCACAGGGGCAGTTGAACCCTGTCCAATAGTGTCACTGAGTCAGAATTGACAGTAAATCTGGTTTGGTTTTCCCCTATTGTTTTAGCCCCTAAAGAGGGTCTTCCTTTTCCCCACCACTAGCCAAATCTCTGGTGGTGAGGCTGCCCTCCTTGGGCTGGATAGAGAAATCCATGTGGAGACTCAGAATGGATTTAAGTAGTTCCTAAGAAATGAACAATCATTGAGAATAAGTGACTGCCACAACTAGAGATTTTTTCTAACCATCACGGAGGCTTTGTAGATCTTTGCAGAAGCAGATAGTTCCCGCTTTCTCGTGTAGAGCAGCTGCTGGGTTTGAACCACCGGCCTTGCACTTAGCAGTCCAACACTTATCTGACAGTGCCACTCAAATTAACAAAGAAGAATTCAAACTCACTGCCATCGAGTCGATGCTGACTCATAATGACCCTAGAGGACAGGGTAGAACTGCTCCTGTGGGTTTCGGAGATTGTAACTGTTTACGGGAGTAGAAAGCCCCATCTTTCTTTGGTGGTTTTGAACTGCTGACCACCAAAGAAAGACAGGCTTTTTACTCCCATAAACCACTACACCACCAATTAATTCATCTTCTTGGGTTTTTAGAAAGGAGCCCTGGTAGCACAGTGGGTTAGGAGTTGGACTGCTAACTGCAAGGTCAGAAGACTGAAACCACTAGCGCCTCCCAGGGGTAAAGAAAGCCTTTCTACTCATGTAAAGATCTATAATCTCAGAAACTCGAGGGCAGTGAGGTTTTTGAGTTTTGGGGGGGTCTTGATTATTTTGTTTAATGTAACCAATGTACCAAATTATATTTAAGTCCCATCCATCTATGTAAATTATGCCATTATCAAGTGTTCATGAGGGAGTGGGGAGCGGGGAGGGAGGGGAAAAATGAGGAGCTGATACCAAGAGCTCAAGCAGAAAGCAAATGTTTTGAGAATGATGATGGCAACACTTGTACAAATGTGCTTGACACGATGGATGTATGGATTGTGATAACAGTTGTACGAGCCCCCAATAAAATGATTTTAAAAAGAAGAAAGAAAAAAAGAAAATTATGCCATTCTTAAATCTTGTGTTATTTACACTTTTATTTTTTTTAGAAAGCTAACTAAACATTAGTCTGGGATGATCCACATTCCCATCTTTTTGTGTTTTCACAGCGACCCTAGAGGACAGGGTAGAACTGCCCCTGTGGGTTTCGGAGACTGTAACTGTTTACAGGAGTAGAAAGCCCCACCTGTCTTTGGTGGTTTCGAGCTGCTGACCACCAAAGAAAGACGGGCTTTTTACTCCCATAAACCGCTACACCACCAATTAATTCATCTCCTTGGGTTTTTGGAAAGGAGCCCTGGTAGCATAGTGATGAAGTGTTGACAGAATACGTGTGTATACAATATTAGATCACTATCAGTGGCCTTGGTGGTGTAGTGATTACTATTGGGCTCCTAACTTCAAAGTCACCAGTTTGAAACCACCAGGTGCTCTGCAGGAGAACGACAGGGCTTTCTAATCCAGTAAAGAGTTACCATCTTGGAAACTCACAGGGGCAGTTCTATCCTGGCTTATAGGGTCTCCAGGAGTCAGAATTGACTACATGGCAGCGACTTTTGAGTTTATTGTGCATCCGACGGAATCCTAGGTGTCAGCTGTTGGGTAAGCATCGCCTTTCAAACCCTCTAGCCACCCCTGGGGAGAAAGAGGAAGCTACCTGCTCCTGTAAAGATTTACAGCCTCATAAATCTATATAGATAGGGTCACTATGTTACCAACCCAGGCCTCACTTGGTGTGACTGAAAAATAAGATAGACTGGATGAAAATGGAAGGGGAAAGGTTTACTTTGATGGATCAAGCAAGGAGCAAGCCAGGACTAGGATAGTTAAAGCAAGCTCCTGAAAAGAAGGTGTTTTACACGTTTATTCCTATACACCAGGAAGTCAACGGATTTCAGTGGAGTGGTCATGAATATGCATTAGGACGGGTTTGTGATCCTTGACAGGAAATAACTCATGGGACTTCGCTTTCAAATATCTTCTGAGATGATCCGACATCTTTCCGGTGACTTTTTGGCTCCTTCACCAAATGCCTTGTGAAGGTTTTGACTGCCCTTTCTGCGCTTGCGTGATGGGCTCGGTCTGGTCAGAACTGATTCTCATTTGCTATAATGAGATACTTTTCCGCGAGGGAAGAGGTTTAGCGCTCATAAGGAGAAAAGTATCAATAAATTGTAGGCAATAGATAAGGTGTCTATATTCCAACATTATGTAGCAACATCTCCTATCTGAAAGGTAAGTACTTTGGTCAATCAGCAGAATTTATAGGGCCGCATGCTGAGCTGAGAACCACAAGGTCTGTGGTTGGAACCCACCAGCCGCTCTATGGGAGAGAGATGAGGTTGTGTATTCCCTTAAAGACTTAAAGTTGGGAAACCCAAAGGGGAAACTCTACTTTGTCCTGGAGGGTCGCTATGAGTGGGATTTGACTCGATGTCAGTGACAGATAGATTGGAAAGAGCCCTGGTGGTGAAGTGGGTTATGAATTGGGCTACTAATGGTAATATCAGCAATTTGAAACCACCAGCCGCTCCACTTTTTATTCCCATAAAGATTTCTAGCCTTGGAATCCCATCGGGGAAACTCAACCCTGCCTTATAGGGTCGCTCTGAGTTGGAATCACCGTGATGGCAGAGGTTTTATTTCACAAACAGGTTGGGGAGGGGTCTCACAATGATGGCAGTGATGGAGTTAAACTCAAAACCAAACCCACTGCCATGGAGTCCCTGCCAACTCAGCAACCCTGGAAGCCAGAGGAGAACTGCCCGGTGCGACTCCTTATGGGAGTGAACAGCTTCGTCTTTCTCCTGAGATGGGGTTATAGTGAGTCCAAAAGGAGCCCTGGTGGCGACATTAGTTAAGCTTTGGATTGCTAATAACAGAGTCTGAGTTCAAACCATGTTCTCTAAGACGTCGGGTCCTGGAAAGATTTGCAGTCTCAAAAACCCTAGATAAGGTTGCAGTGGGTTGGAATTGACTTAATGGTTGTAGGATTTAGGATTTGTTGTGAGTCCAAACGAGCCCTTGTGGTGCAGTGGTGAAGTGCTCAGCTATTACCTGAAAGGCTGGCAGTTCACTTTGTCAGGAGAAAGATCAGGTACTAAGCTCCACAAAGATTACAGCCGGGAAAACCCTATGGAATTGTTCTAGTCCGTCACATGTAGTTGCTATGAATCAGAAGCTCCAAGGCATCCCCCACTAATAACATTGTGATTAGCCAATTCAAAATAGTTTTTGTTATCATAGAATGTTTATGCCTAGGCAGATACATGTAGGCTTACACATGAAGCAGAGCTGATATTGAATTAATGTCAGAGAAATGTTGTGAGCATAGTAAAAGGCGGTTGTAGTTCTATCCTTAGCTCTTTTCTCAATTTAGCCTTGGGTTATTTCATTTTCGTTCAGATGTGGACAGAGAATAGTTAAAATCATTTTGTTTTTGTTGTTCCTAGCAAGGGTGATTGGTATGTTCGAGATGAGTGAATTAAATGGCAATTGCTGCTTGATGGCAGGACAAAGGGAGCCCCAAGAAATTAGAGACAACTCAGCTCCCTTCTCAGAATAGATCACTGGAAAGGAAGCAGAGAAAGCATTTGCTGAACAAAAATATTCTTATAGATAATGTATTGTAATTCCGTCAACAAAAATTTCCTACAGGGAACCATATGTCAGGGCAGAAAGTAGCAGCTCTTTACATAAGTATTTATCGTGATGGGATATGATTTTTTTTCCAGGGTGGGGGACGGAGAAACTGCCTAATTAATTTTGTTTATTAAGCAAGTACATGTAAGGCAATTAAGATAGATAGTCATATTTTCTTTCAGAAATTCATTGTTCCCACTACAAATTATATTTCTCTTTTTAAATGAAAAAGCACTAAATTAGCTGTTTTCTCTACATACTGTTCTTTTAACTATGATAACATTTTTATCCTCTCCCCTTTTGCATTATCCTGGACCTTGCTAGAATATTGGTCGAAAGTGTTCCAAAAATTTTTAATTCCATTTTAATAAATGTTATTTATTACAAAAACAAGAATACTCAGTGTAGAGAATTTGGAATATATGGCTTTAGAATATATCTATAAGGAAAAGTAAACCACCTCTACTATTACCACTACCTTGCTAATATATTCGTATATTTCTAGTATTTTACTATGCTGAAATTTATTTTGTTTGAAAAATAACCCGTTTGTTTACTGAATTCTTTAAATGTCCTTGCATGAATTTTTTCCAAAAACTTTGGACATTCTTTGAAAACAAGAGTTTTAATGACTGTTTCCTCAGAAATGACATTATTCTAATATATTTAGATATAGTCCTTTTATCGCTCCCAAATATTGGCTATGGTAAAATAGCACTGCGATCACTAGTTATGTTTAGATTTGATTATTGTGTTTTTAAGAATATGTTGATTTTGTCTGTTTGTTTAGAAGTAGAATTTACTGAGTCATGAGTTTGAAAACCATGAAGGCTTTCACTCGATATGTGGAGACTTCAAAAGGTTCTTGGAAGTGGAATTAAAAGACAAAAGTAAAAACAACAGACTTTATTTTGTAACATAAACCACTAAAATCAAGGCATTTTCTTAAACAATGATAAAAGCCACTTAGTTTATCCCTAAAGAACTGAGGGTGCTGAGATTTTTACCATGTTAATACAGTTTTTGTACATTATTAACTGAAGAAAAGTAGGTTCTCTTTAGAGATTTTTTATTTTTTGGTTTTAATTAGCAAACAAAAAGAACCCAGAAGGAATCAGAGCAATACTGTATAGTAAATGCCTGGTGATTTCCCATAGATATTGTTCAAAAATGCCTTTGTTTGATGAGAGGAGCTGGTGGTGGAGAAGAGCACTTTGTTGAAGCTTTCTGGGGAGTTTTCCAGTTGAAGCTCTGGATAACTTTCTCAGAACATTCTCATAATAAGCAAATCTTATCATTCTTTTACCGGCCAGAAAGTCAACAAGTAAAATACCTTAAAACAAAAAAAAAATCCAAAAGAAACTGTTGCCATGACTTCTGCTTTTTGACCAATCTGCTTTTGCTTCTTGGCCACCATTACTTTTTGCTTTTTCTTTAGCTCATACTGGTAAAGCCAATATTCATCTCTCCTCTTACAATTCTTTTAGGAAATGCTTCAGCATCTTTATCAGTTCTTGTCTGCAACTGATGTGAACCCAACATTTTATCACTCAACAAGCAGAAAGTTTGCTTAATTTTAATTTTTCAGTTAAAATTATGTCAGCTGAAATACTCGAGATTTCAACAATGTGGGTTCTTTTGAATTTTCTATTAATAGTTCTTTTTAATAAGCGTATGGACAAAATTTATTTTTTTCCTGCCGAATTGATGTTCATTGTCTATGACTGCAGGCTTTATCTTCAACTTTGCCTTATCCCCTCTTGAAATGAGTTTGCCATATCTAAACTGCCAGTTTCTATGTGGCATTATCCAAATGAATTTTTCATAAAACATCAACGATTTCAACATTCTTCCATCCAACCTTCAACATCAATTTGATGTTTGTTCTTATTTCAGCTTTAGCAGATCTCATGTTGCTCTGAGAGGGGCTTTTTTCAAACTGATGTCCTTTTTAGTACCTCAAATTAGGTCCTGTTCAAACGTGCTATAACATGTTTGTATGCGTTTATTTTGGTATAAAAAATGAACATCCATGAATAGCTCTTTAATAATACACATTTCCATGAACCTTTGAAAGACTCCTTGTTTCACTATTAAAATTTATATCTTAAAAGGTTGGGTAAATTTATACGACCATTGGCTATATGTGGATATACCCATTTCCCCCATACATTTGACAAATGGCTGATTCGGTTGTCAAAAGGTAATGTTTGAAATTTGTTATCTGAATTACTTCTTTCTGACTATCCCATAAGGTTGTTTACTTATTTTTGTAATATGGTTGTCTGAATTGTAGATATTTAATTCTTAATAGAAATACCATAGGACTTAATCATCTCTCTACTTAGTGTATACCCTAAAGAAATAAGGAGCAAAACACAACCATATATGCACACCCATATTTATCACAGTACTATTCACCATAGCAAGAAGATAGAAGCAAACTAAATGCCCATGATAGAGGAATGGATAAATAAACTTTGATATGTACATAAAATGGAATATTATGCATTGCTAAAAATTGAATGAATATTATGTAATGCTAAATAATGATAAAACTCTCAAAGACCTCATGACATGGATGAATCTGGAAGATATGCTGACAGAAGGTAGCTATTCCCATAAAAACAAATACTGTATGAGACCACTTACATAAGAGAAAAAAGTAGTTTACATACCAAAAGAAACAGACTTTGATAGTTATGGAGAAGCCAGAGGAGGGGAAGAAAAAAAGTAATTTAAAAAGAAAGAAATTTAATTCCTTAACAATTTGAGAATCAGATTGAGCATTGAAAATTTGAAATAGCAAAAAAGTTTTACTCCATTAATATTTTGTATCCTCTCAATCCATTTCTGAACCAGAATTATTTTAACATATCAAATAATTAGAATCTAAAGTCTTGCTTGTGTTTTCAGTTCCAGAAGATCTGCAGAATTCTGAATGGTCATATGGATGCTCTGCGCAGATTGGTCAATATTCAGGTGGGAGTTTATTTCTATACCAAGCTATATGTATTACAAGTGGAAAATGTGTTGTACATCAGGCTGTGTGTGTTCAATGACTGCACTCAAAAATTAGAGCTCCTGACTTAATAGTAGCCTTAATAATAAGAATAATTGGTTCTTGTGACATGCTCGTCCAACTTGTCTTCATGCTGAAGAGATGGGTGCCAAAACAAAGTTTGGTGAAGAAATCAGCTTGTGTCTGGCTATTAGGAAAAATAGGCATATCTCCAAACAAGCAGCCATCTAAGTGAGGTATCATTCAGCTAAGTCCCCATGCAAGGAACACACCAGCCTGTGTGATCCAAGGATTGTAAATAATATGATCCAAATCCATAGGAGGGAACAGTAACAGTACCTAAATCCTAAACACCCAGTTTGCAGAATGCGGTGGATGATAATAAAAGCTCAAAATCTATTTACAGGCTCCCTGTGTGATACCCCAGTTAATCTCTACCATCCATATTCACTAGGAATGTGAACAGCCCTACTATGAGACAAAGAACTTTGTAAAGTGGATTTTAGGCTGAAGTGTAACACCTTGCATTAGATCTCTCTTTGGACCCATTTACATTTTTGTGTAACTTTTTAATATTCTCTGCTTTCTCTTAGTTAGAGGTCTTTCTCTGTTTTATATGGTTATTGTTACTGAGGGGTAGGTGATGGAGTCCTTGTTTCGTATGTTTATCTGTATAGGGAAGCCAGTATAGGTGGATTTAAGAAGACAGTAGCTGGATTAATGATTGCCTGGGGGCATGGAAGGGGAGGTGGGAGGGAAATGGGGTGTCAACAGCAGTGGGTTCACGAAGGAAGAACATGTTCCGAAGTTGATTGTGGTGATGATTGCACAACCCTTCTTGATATGATTTGAAATATTGTATATGTTAATTATAGCTCAATAAAATTATTTTTAAATAAGAGCTCAATTGAAGGGGTGTTGCTTAACTCATAGTATGTATATATTAATTCTGAAAAACTGTAATTGCTTATTTTTGTACAATGAAACATAGGAAAGATAAGAACCTAATGCAAATGGAGGCTACACAGGAATGAGATAGGGGAATGGGAATCAAAGCAGGACTTCTGAGTATACCTTTTTATATAGTGTTGACTTTTGGACGGTGTATATTTTTCAGATACTCAAAAATTTGAGTTAAGTCTAAAAAGAATGATGGTATGAATCCTAAAATTGAATACAAAGTGAAATCAAACAAACCTGTTTGAATCACAGTACAGATTGCTTTTGAGTGTAGTGATCCTACCAAGATGTCGTCTAAGGATGCAAAAGAACTTCAGTTTTCATAACTGATCTATTATTAGTTTCGGAATTATAATACCATTATTGCTACTTGGATATAAAGTAAATGAATGTATATATTAATATTTACTCATAACAAAACCCAGATTTTCACTGAAAGATAAAAGAAGTACAAGTTATTTTTTCCTTGTTTTATAATTGTATTATAAATCTGAATATTCATGTAAATTTATATGTCCTTGTTCTGAAGCAGTGATCGTAGCCTCTAAAGTAATTAGCACACCCAGCACCCGGATCTTGCTTTCTAAGACCCATAACACTAAAAAGAACCAAGGCTGCTTAGAGAAATATTTGATCCCAGATCTTTAGGTAGGGAAAGTACAAGTTAAGTGTAAGACTTTTTGTGCTAGATGCTAGGATCATTCAGAAGTACTGAGGCCATATCAGAATATGAGACGGTGCCAGAAGTTGGGTCATACAGGCCAAATTGGAATGGTTTGAGCTTTAAAAATAATAGTAAAGGATTAAAATAAATTGATTTTTTTTCAAATGAGGTCATCTGCTTCCTCATACATCATGTCTTTTGTGACTTACTCCTCAAGTTACAGGTTTGTCTGAGGTAGAGTCCAATTCACCCAGTGGAGTTCTGCATAGGATCTCACTGACACAGCCTCATAAGTAAACTGTGGGCCTTAAAGATCCAGGATTCAGTGTCCCAGCGTATCTCGACACCCGGCCTGAGTCCCCAGGATGCACTCAGAAGCCCAGGTCAAAAATCAGTTGTCTGTAGGTTGATGCTTTTATTTCTGGGTTCACTGTCCTGATTCATTGGTCCATGTATCTATCATGATATCAGTACCAGGCTGTTTTGCCAACCATGACTGTATAGTAGGTTTTGAAGTCAGGTAATAAAAGACCACCTACTTTGTTCTTTTTGAGGATTTCATTGTGTACCCTGGGCTTCTTCCCTCTACATAGGAAATTAGTAATTAAGTTGTCCATTTCTTTGAAGAATGAAGCTGGAATTTGTATACAGATTGCATTGAATCTGTAGATTACGTTGGGTAGCATTGACATTTTCACAATATTGAGTCTTCCAATCCATGAACATGGGATATTCTTCCATTTGTGTGGAGTCTTTTTGGTTTGTTATAGTAATGTTCTGTAGTTTTCTTCATACAGGTCTTTTGGAGTTGTTGAGTTTTTTTGTTGTTGTTAGGTGTATTCCTAGGTATTTCAGCTTCTGCGTGGTTATTGTGAATAGCATTATTTCCTTGATATTTTTTTTGTATTCTCATCACTAGTATTTAGGAATGTAATTGATTTCTGCTTGTTAATCTTGTATCCTGCTACTCTCCTAGACTCTATTGTTTCCAGCAATCCTGCTGTAGACTCCTTGGTATTCTCAATATATAAAATTATATCATCTGAAAATAGCGAAAATTTCACTTCTTCTTTACCCAATCATACACCCTTGATATCTTGCCGTTGTCTTATGATACTGGCTAGGACTTCCAGCCCAATATTGAATAGAAGTGGAGATAAAGACGTCCTTGTTGAGTTCCCTTAGTCAATGGAAATGTTTTCAGCTCTTCTCCATTGAGTGTAATTTTGACTTTATTTTTTTTACATGGCCTTTATCAAATGGAAGATTTTCCCTTCCAATCCTATCTTCTTGAGAGTTTTGATTAGGAATAGGTGTTGGGTATTAACAAATGCTTTTTCTGCATCAATTGATGTGATCATATGGGTCTTGTCCTTTTTCTTGTTGATGTGGTGGATTACATTAAATGTTTTTCAAATGTTGAACCATCCCTGCATCCCTGGTATGAATCCCACTTGGTCATGATGTATTACTTTTTTGATATGGCCAAGATTTTGTTGAGGATTTTTGCATCTATGTTCGTGATTGATACTGGTCTGTAGTTCTCTGTCCTTGTGGGGTCTTTGCCCGGTTTGGGTATCAGGGTTATGCTGCCTTCATAGAATGAGTTTGGGAGTTTGATGTCCCCTTCTATGTTCTGGAAGGGTTTGTGTAGGATTGATGTCAGCTCTTCTCTGAATGCTCAGTGGAATTCTCCTGTGAAGCCATCTGGACCAGGGCTTTTTTTAGTTGAGAGTTTCTTGGTGACCTTGTCTATTTCTTCTTTTGCTATGGGTCTGTTAAAGCTTTTAATGTCCATTTGTGTTACTTTAGGGGGAGAGTGTTTTTTTAGGTATTTGTCCATGTCCTCCAAATTACTGAATTTGTTGGAATACAGTTACAGCTGCACCAAATTTGATGAACTGTTTGTAGGTGGAAAATATGGTCTTGTTACATCAATGCCCTATATGTTGTATTAAGATATGTATTATTCCAGCAAACCTGTCGTGATCACTCTGTTTTATTTGGTTTTTGTTTGTTCATATTAGGGTGTATCACAGAGGTTCTAGGTCATTGTGGGTTACCCTCTTGAAACTGTGCTATAAGTTTTTCTGTTCTTTGGTAAATGAAATCCAGGATTGATGAACCTATAGGAATAGTAAGTAGAAAAGGAGGTTCAGGCGTGGGAGGGGCAGTTTCAGGGTAGAGAGGGGTAAAAGAAAGACAGTATCAAGGAGCCCAGGAAGAAAAAAAATATGTTTTGAAACTGATTATGGAAGCAAGGGTACAATTTTGCTTGATGTGATTGAACTATGGAATGACATGAGATTCGTATTAACTCCCAAGTAATAATAAAAGAACAACAACAAAAACACGCAGATCCAGGAATCGGTTTTGGACTTACACTAAATTCTGGCTTCAACTTTAGAACAATTAGTTTTTGCATCCTGGCCCTGCTCTATACTCACCCTCAGGAAAGGAACACAGAGGAGGCAGGTGCTATTACAAAATGTGAAGAAATTAGATGGTGCCCAGCTATTAGGTAAAATAGTGTCTGGAGTCTAAAAGCTTATCTCCAAACAAGCAGCCATCTAAGTGAGATGTCAACTAAGTCCACTTGGAAGAAGCACATCATCATCGGTCACCAAAGGGTTCTGAATCATATAATCCAAAGTCAAAGGATTCGTATCAGAGCCTAAAGTTTGAGAATCTGGTTTGCAAAAGGCTATGGATGACAGTGGGAGCCCAGGATTCATTTGTGGAACTACATAAGAAATAATCCTCTGGCGAACTCCCTCTATCCACAATTGAGGGATATGAGGGAAGTGGTTATTAAACAAAGTGCTTGGGTGAGAGGATCATAGAAGTTCAAAGTTATAAATCTGATCTGAACAGTTAAAACTCTGTCAGCAGCTCCCCCCTAGGATAGCATGCTAGACTCTATATAGTTTCCAAAATTTTCTGTATATTTCGTTTGTATTGTTTGGTTTGGTTTTTGTTCATATTAGGGTGTTTCTCAGAGGTGTTATGTCATTGGGTGTCACAGTCTTGTAGCTGTGTTATATGTTTATCTGTTTTTTGGTATGTGAAACCCGGGAATGATGAACCCATAGAGACAGCAAGTAGAATAAGGGTTGTGGGGTGGGGGGTAAAATGGTGTGTGTGTGTGTGTGTGTGTGTGTGTGTGTGTAGGGGAGACAATGTTAAGGAATCTATGAAGGATAAAAATAGTTAGAAACAAATTGTGGAAGCAATTGTACAATTCTGCTGGATGTGATTAAAGTATGGAATGATATGATACATATATTAAAAAACCAATTAATAATAAAAAATGAGGTCACAGTATCTAAATGCCAA